GAAACAGGCTCCAGGCTCCGAGCTGGCAGTCAGCACAGAGCCCGACGCGGGGCTCGAACCCACGAACCGTGAGATCATGACCTAAGCGAAAGTCGGACGCTTAACCGACTAAGCCACCCAGGCGCCCCTAAAAAAATTTTTTTTAAAGTGTGATAAGAGATCGTTTCTATTATAAAACATACACATATCTATTTGTTCATATGTGAATCTGAAAGTACATACACCAAAATGTTAGCAGTTATTATCTCTGGGTGATGGACATACCAAGTCATATTTATCTTGTTTTTCTTTTTTCACAGTGAGCATATCTTTTTACTCAGCTAAAATATAAAATTATTTTTCTGTAAATGTTATATGGCTAATTGCTGTTCTTTTATAGTCTGAGTTAAACTAGTATATAGAAACAATATTTTAAAATGGGTAAAAACTACTTAGACATATTATGGACTCAGAAGTGCTCAAAACACAGATATAGTTGAGAATGCTTTTTTTAAATACTAGTTCAGACTTTCTTTAGCAGAATATAACAGTATAAAATTGGGAAGTCACAATCATTTTTTTTCTTTAAGAAACAAACAGACTCTTAGCTATAGAGAACAAATTGATTATTATCAGAAGGGAGGTGGGTAGGGGGATGGGTTAAATAGGTGATTAAGGATGGGGATTAAAGAACATACCTTTTGTGATGAGCACCAGGTGTTGCATGGAAGTGTTGAATTATTAAATTGTATACCTGAAGCTAATATTACATTCTATGTTAACTATCTGGAATTTAAATAAAAACTTAAAAAAACAAAGACAAAAACAAAACCCCAATCATTCATTATTTATTGTTTTATTTTGTACATGATATTATGGCATGTGGTTTGAGATTTTTTTTTATTTCTTAGGTTAATTTATTCAAATGTACAAACGTCATGATGGTACCCAAACTAAAATTACCCATGTTATTCGTTATCCTCAAACAAGAAAAAACTTTTTATCACTCTAACATTTTACATTGCTCATCTATAGCATGTACCTTTATTTATGTAGTACTTATTAGTGATCACATAACAATATATTCCTATTTAATCAAATTACTAAACTTTCAGTTAAAGGAAGAAAAAGAAGTTTAAGTAGTTCAACATTCAAAGACATAATTTCCTTCTATGGTCTTTTACTTTATGAACATGGAAGTTGTACCCTTTTCAGTTCAGCAAAATAAACTAGGTATTTTGGGTATCACTTTGTTAAATATAACTAAGTTTAATAAAATAGAAATATCACTATGACATGTGAGTTAACATTCTTGCTAATTGAAAACATTATGAATACCAGAGCTCCTTCATTTTATATCATGAAAATAAAAGTTCTAACAATGAGGTAGTTGCACTTATTATATCCAGATCTTGTTTTGATTTTTAGGGAAAATAACTCTATAATTTTTTTTAAATCTTTATATATTTTTGAGAGTGAGACAGAGAGACAGAATGTGAGCAGGGGAGAGGCAGACACAGAATCTGAAACAGGCTTCAGGCTCCAAGCTGTCAGCACAGAGCCTGATGTGGGGCTCGAACCCACAAACCGTGAGATCATGACCTGAGCCAAAGTCGGACCCTTAACGGACTGAGCCACCCAGGTACCCCTAGTGAAAATAATTCTTTATTAAATCACTGTACTTTAAAAATTTAGCAAGTTTAGCCTGTAGGAATATGGTCACTGATAAAATAATTGCTACATGAGACTTTCTTTGTTATATTAATAATGAAAGGAGTTGGAATACTTTTTTTTAATTTGGAGATAATTAACATTGCCAATTTTTGTTTGGAGACTGTTGTTATATTTGCTCAAATGAAGAAATATAATGTAAACAAACATTTTTAAAAGAGAAACTAATAACCTTATAAATATCTTGAGAACAGAATCTACAGTTTTCCCAGCAAGTAAAATCTTTTCACTTAAGTATATAGGAGATGTTATGTGCTAAAAATGGAATTGTATTATTATAAATCAAAAGTTCTATAGAATACAAACATATTAACCATAAGTAAAGGAACATTAAATCCTTATTGTAACACGGTTGTCCAGGCCCATATCAAGCAAGACCTATAGTGACAGACTGATGGGATTATGCTGTATCAGTTTGGGATGGAGGGGAGAAAGGAGAGGGGATCACAAAGAATGGTGAGGACAACTTGGAGTTATCATTAAAACATGGAGAGATTTTTCTATAACTAGTTATATATAAGCTAAACTATTAGAACTTGGTTTAAAATAATTTTTACCTTTCTGTCTCTCTGTTTAGGTGTAATGTCCACTACTTGGGATTTGTATGATTCTTATAACGCTATGGAGCCTTCTCCTTTACCCGCAAAGTCTATACTTGATTCAAGTTGTAAAGGAAATGCAGCTTCTAAAGATCGAGAGCAAAGAGTGCCGGGGAGTGCTACAGAAAAAAGTAAGATTTCATTTATTTCAGTTTTTTTTTTAAATGGAATGTTTCACTAATGTGCATGCTGTCTTTGCACAAGAGCCATGCTAATCTTCTCTGTATCATTCTAATATTACTCTACTTGCTGCCTCAGCAAGCACTATTTCAGTTTTTAAAAAGTGATATTTTCACATGCCATTGTAAGTAAATTCTTTCTTAGCAGTCACAATACTTCATTTCTGGTGGGAGATGAAAACTATAACTTTTACTCAGAAATAGCATTGTCAGTCTTTATATCATCTTGGACTCTAAACTAAAAACATTAATTTTTCTTGGGTATCTGTCAAGAGTTTCAAAGATTCTCTCTTCCTCTGTTGCTTACTTACTCTTAAGCTCTCTTTCATACATGTGAGGACATGTAAGTTCATAATTTTCTCTCTTCTTTTCTTTACGTAGGCTGTACAATTTCTTTTCTTTTCTTTTCTTTTTACAAATAGTTTATTGTCAAATTAGTTTCCACATAACACCCAGTGCTCATCCCCTCACGTGCCCTCTTCCATGCCCATCCCCCCTCCCCCCCCACATCCATCAGTCCTCAGTTTTTGTCAGCATTCCAGAGTCTCTCATGGTTTGCCTCTCTCCCTTTCCCCCACCATTTCTCCCCTTCTTCTCCCCCTTGTTCCTCCGTTAAGTTCCTCCTAATCCTCCTATACGTGCAAACATATGATATTTGTCCTTCTCTGCCTGACTTATTTCGCTCAGCATAACACCCTCAAGGTCCATCCATGTTGCTACACATGGTCAGATTTCATTCTTTCTCATTGTCATGTAGTATTCCATGGTATAGATAAACCACATCTTTTTGATCCATTCGTCCGATGATGGACACTTAGGCTCCTTCCATGTTTTAGCTATTGTGGAGAGTGCTGCTGTGAACATTGGGGTACATGTGCTCCTATGCCTCAGCATTTCTGTATCCCTTGGGTAAATTCCTAGCAGTGCTATTGCTGGGTCCTAGGGGAGTTCTATTGTTAGTTTCCTGAGGAACCTCCACACTGTTTTCCAGAGGGGCTGCACCAGTTTACATTCCCACCAACAGTGTAGGAGGGTGCCCGTTTCTCCACATCCTCGCCTAGGCTGTACAATTTATAAGAAAGAGAGTGTATGATAGCTGTTTGACAACTTAAAATGGAGCTATAGTAACAACTGTGGCTTTTAATTGGGGATGATTCTACCTCTCTAGAGGATATTTAGCAATATCTGGAGATCTTTTTGGTGTCATGACTATGGGGACATCTTTTGGTTTGATGTTAAGGATACTACCAAAAATCCTTCAGTACACAGAACAGCCCCTACAACAACAAATTACCTCACCAAAATGTCAGTACTACCAAGGGTGAGAAACTCCGCATGACAACTTTAGCTTTTAGTATTTTAAGGTTTAAGATTAAATGCTTTCATTAAAGTCAACACAAAATTTTAACTCTCTAAATGTACTTAGCAATATGAGAGAATTTTTACAAAGTCCACCTATAAGAAATTTCTTAAGCTCCATTTCTGATTGTTTTGTGGTTATATAGTTTTATTCTCCCTATTCTGAACTTTCGAGTCATTTTTCTTATAAAATGATATCACTCATGTAAGGGGTAGTTGTTTTTTTATTTTTTCAGAATAACTATACCCTGGCAAGTTTTGGCAAAATTTTGGCAAATTTTCATAAGTTAAATTGAAATATTTCTATCCCCAACTATTTTTTACCCTGAAGACAAATGTAACATTAAAAAAAAAATCACTAAAGTGTTTTTGAAAAATCAAGTTTAAAGAGAATTGATAATTTTCAGAAAATAATCATCTTATTTATAACTGACTACATTTCCTTCAGACACTTTAGATCTATAGGACCTACCATCTAATAATTTGGTCTATCATTGTACTTAAATTAAATTTTTAAAAAAATAAAAACTTTAAAAATGTCATCTCTATTATTTTGTCACTTAAAATTATATTTACAGTCATGTGACCTATAGCTATGTTTTACTGAAAGTTGTTTACAATGAAGGCCAGATTATTTTCCCAGAGAACAATGAAGGGGAAGAATGAATTATTAGTTATCACTAAAGAAACATTTTTTGTTGCTTAAATGTTAATGTCCACACAGTGGTTTTGCTTTTAGAAGCCAAAATTTTTCCTGCCAAAAATTTCTAAGAATAATATCCATCTTAGACTCAAAGATTACATTGGGACTTCAAAATTGGATACACGTACCCCATCTCTATTAAGGCCATTGACACACCAAAATAAGTGTAAGTAGAAGGTCCTAAAAGAAAAATGTCTCTATTTGTGGGTCTTTTATTTCTTGTATATATGGGTGTGTTTTAAAAAGCAAAAAGCAATAATAAAACCATATTCAAGAACTATAATACAAAATAAAAATATACTTTATTTTAGTATTGTGGCCAATTAAGGGATTAGAGGAGACCAGAACTAGGAAAAGGGAGAAAATAAAAAATAGAAAAAGATAGGCAACAGAAGTAAATGATCAGATTTATTGAGATTGTAAAGGAGAGTCACATAAAAATTAGAAGGACTAAGATCACTTCTGGGTCCCTTTTGCCTCTGAGATTTTATAATGCAGACACATAGAGAAAAAAAGTTAAATATGGTCCATATTTGGTTTAAGAAATGTTTCTATTCCATTTAAACTTTGAATGTACAGGTTATACTTTAACCATTATGTTTGAGGGGAAAAAGGACCATGATTTTCATTTTTGAATATCTGTAAGACACTTATTCAGATCACAAAGAGAAATTATTTTCTCTCATGGGCTTAAAAAAAAGTTTTTTTTAAATGTTTATATATTTCTACCAGAGAGAGAGAGAGAAAGAACATGATCAGGGGAGGGGCAGAGAGAGAGGGAGACGCAGAATCCAAAGCAGGATCCATTCTCTGAGCTGTTAGGACAGAGCACAATGTGGGGCTCAAACTCATGGACTGTGAGATCATGACCGAGCCAGGTGCCCCATTGTTTTGTTTGTTTGTTTGTTTTAAAGAGCTGTAGATTTTGAAAAAGTAATAGACATTTCAAGCACAGGTTTAGAGTTACAGAAAAATTGAGCAGAGAGTACTGAGAGATCCTTCCAATTTCTTCCTTTATCCCACTTGGTGCAATTTCCCCTATTTCTAACATCTGGCACTAGTGGGGTACATGTGTTACAATTGTTGAATCAATATCGATATTATTAACATAATTTACATCAAGGTTCACTCCTTGTGTTGTACAGTGCCATGAGTTTCGGCAAATGCATAAGGACATGTTTCGGTCATTACAGTTTCATACAGAATAGTTTCATTGACTTAAATATCCCCCATTCTCCATGTATTCATCATTCCTCCTCACTCCATATCTCTGACCATTGCTGATCTTTTTATTATGTCTATAATTTAGACTTTTCCAAAATGTTAGGTGGTTGGAATCATACAATATGTAGCCTTTTCAGACTGGCTTCTTTTACCAAACAATACACATTTAAGATTCCTGTGTGTCTTCTCATGACTTGACAGCTCGTTTGTTTTTCACTAGAAAATATTAAATTATATGGAGATACGACAATGTGTTTATTTATTTGTTGAACGATTTCTTTGTTGCTTCTAGTTTCTTGTGACAGTGAACAAAGCTGCTATGAACATTCATGTGTAGGTTTTTGTGGGGACATAACTTTTCACCTCACTTGGGTAAATACCCAGGAGTACAGTTGTTGGGTCATATAGTAAGAGTATGCTTAGACTCTTAAGAAACTATGAAACTGTCTTCCAAAGTGGTTGTACCACTTTGTATTACCAACAGCGATGACTGAATGTTTTTGTTGCTCCTCATTCTATCAGTATTTGGTACTGATTACTTAAAAAAAAAAATTTAGTGTTTATTTTTGAGTGAGAGAGTATGAGCAGGGAGAGGGGGACTCAGAGAGAGAGGGAGACACAGAATCTGAAGGAGGTTCCAGGCTCTAAAGTCTCAGCACAGAGCCTGATGCAGGGCTTGAACGCATGAAATGTAAGATCATGACTTGAGCCAAAGTTGGACACTTCACTGACTGAGCCACCCAGGCACCCCTGATACTGTTTACTTTAAAATTTTTTTTAGCTGTTGTAATAGATGTGTGCTCTCTCATTATTTTTTTTAAGTGTTCATTTATTTATTTTGAGAGAGAGAAAGAGAGAAAGAGCATGCCAGTGGAGGAGAGGCAGAGAGAGGGGGAGAGAGAGAATCCCAAGCAGGCTCTGTGCTGTCAGTGCAGAGCCCAACGTGGGGCTCAATCTCATAGATGGTAAAATCATAACCTGAGCAGAAATCCAGAGTCAGAGGCTTAACTGACTGAACCACCCAGGCACCCCATCTCATTATTGTTTTAATTTGCAATTCCCTTATGACATGTGATGTTGAACATATATTTACTGGCATATACGTATCTTCTTTGGTGAAATGTCTATTTGAATTTTCTGTTATTTTTTAAATTGGGCTATTTATTTTCTTTTTGTTGAATTTTATGAATTATGATAAATTAACTCCTTCATCAGATAAGCATTTTGCAAAATTTTCTCCCATTTGGGGGCTTGTCTCTTCATTTTCTTAACAATTCTTCACAGACCAGAAAGTTTTAACTTAATAAAGTCTAATTTAACATTCGTTTTTCTTCTTCAAATTGTGCTTTTGGTATTTTATCCAAAGATTTATCACCAAACCAGGGCCACCTAGATTTTCTCCTATGCTGTTTTAGAAAAATGTATAGTTTTGTATTTTACATTGAGGTTCGATTCAGTTAATTTTTGGGAAAGGCATATATTCTGTGTTTACATTTTTTTAAATATATGGATGTCCAATTGCTCATTTATTGAAAAGACACTCTTGAGGTCCTTTGTCAAATATCTGTTGACTGTATTTGTGTGGGCTGTTTTTGAGCTCTCTATCCTGTTACATTGATCAATTTATCTGTTCTTTCACCAATATCTCATTGTCTTGGTTAACTGTAGCTCTATAGTAATGCTTAAAATTGGGTAGTGTCAGTCTTTTGTTCTTCTTCAATATTGTGTCAGCTACTCTTGTTCTTTTGCCTCTCCATATAAACTTGAGAATCAATTTGTCAATATCAATAAAATAGCTTGTTGGGATTTTTATTGGGATTGCACTGAAGCTATAGATCAACTTGTAAAACATGGGCATTTTAACAATATGGAGACTTCCTACCCATGAAAATTCATTTGGATCTTCTTTGATTTCTTTCATCAGGGTTTTGTAATTTCCTCAAGTAGATCTTGTACGTATTTTGTTAGATTAGTAACTTAAGTGTTTAACTTTTTAGCTCCAGTATAAATAGTATTATGGTTTTTATTTCAATTTTATTTTTTTAAGTTTGTTTGTTTGTTTGTTTATTGAGGGAGATAGTATGCAAGAGGGGCAGAGAGAGAGAAAATCCCAGGCAGGCTCCACACTGTCAGCATAGAGATGAGGTAGGGCTTCAATTCATGAACTGTGAGATCATGACCTCAGCTGAAACTAAGAGTCAGACACCTAACTGACTGAGCCACCCAGGTGCCCCTATTTCAGTTTTCGTTGTTCATTACTGGTTTATAGGAAAGACATTGATTTTTGTATATTAATCATGTATACTGCAACTTTACTATACTTTTTATTATATTTGGAGAATTTTATATTTTTTTGACAATTCATGGGGATTTTTCACAAAACAATCATGTCATCTACAAAGGTTTTTTTTTTCCCTTTCCAATTTGTATAATTTTTATTTCTTTTCCTTGACTTATTGTACTAGGTAGGACTTCTAGTATGATGTTGAATAAAGGTAGTGAGAAGGGACATTCTAGCCTTGTTTCTTATCTTAGTGGGTAAATTTTTGGGTTTTCACCATTAAATATTATGTTAGTTGTAGGTTATTCATAGATTTTTTAAAAATTCATATCTATTCTTAGTGTCCTAAGTGTTTTTTTTTATCATAAATTAAATTTAAATGACATAAATTAGATTTTGTCAAAAGATTTTTCTGAATCGAATGGGATTTTTCTGCCTTAGCCTATGGATCTGGTGGATTGTATTAATTGGTTTTCAAGTGTTGGCACTGGCTGTGCATACCTGGAACAAACCACACTGTGTTTTATAAGTCTTCTTATACACTGTTAGATTTCATTGCTAATATTTTGTTGGAGGATCTTTGTGTTGCTTTCATAAACAGTATTTTTCTGTAATTCTCCTTTTTTGTAATGTTTTCATCTGGTATTTGTATTAGAATAATGTCGGCCTAACAAAATGAATTGGGAAGTGTTCCTTCTACTTATTTTCTGAAATAGATTGTATAAACATTCCTTAAATGTTTGATATAATTCATCAGTAAAACCATCTGGGCCTGGGGCTTTCTATTTTGGAAAGTTATTAATTATGGATTCGACTTCTTTATAGATAGAGGCCTATTCAGATTACCTATTCCTCTTTGTGTAAGTTTGGACAGTTTATGTCTTTCAAGAAATTTCTCTACTTCATCTAAGTTATCAAACCTATGGACATAAATTATTCAGTGTTCAATATTCTTTGGTCTTTGGGATCAGTAGTGATGACACCTCTGTTCTTGCTCATACTGGCAATTTATATGTTTTATTTTTTTTCTTGGTTAGTTTGGCTGATGATTATGAATTTTATTGATCTTTTCAAGGAAACAACTTTTAATTTCATTGATTGTTTCTGATGATTTTCTGTTTTCAATTTTATTGATGTATGTTTTAATTTTCATATATATTTGTTTCCTGCTTACTTTAGGCTTAGGTTGCTCTTCTTACTCTAGTGCCCTGAGATGGGAGCTTAGATTACCAATTTTTAGATTTTCTTCTTTTTAGTATATGCCTTCCATGCTATAAATTTCCCTCTAGGCATTCGTTTTGCTGCATTTCATAAATTTTGAGAAGTTTTAGTTTTATTTTCAAATATTTTAAAATTTCATTTGAAACTTCTTCTTTGACCTATTTTTTATTTATGGATGCTTTTTAAATTTCCAAATATTTTGGGATTATCCAGCTGTCTTTCTGTTATTAAATTCAATTTTAATTCCATTGTGGTCTGAGAGCATTTTTTAAAAAATTATTTCTATTCTTTAAATGTGTTTAGCTTGCTTTGTGGCCTAGAATGTGTTCTAGCTTGGTGAGCATTCCATGTGAACTAGAGAAAAACATGTATTCTGTTAAAAATAAAAAGGGTTAATGTTTCCAATTATAATAGCTTGTGTGTCTAATTCTCCTTGCAATTTTATTAGCTTTTTCCTTACAGATTTGTAGTCTTGGTTTTTTGCTGCATAAATGATTAGCCTTGCTATGTCTTCTTGGAGAATTGATTTCTTTATTATTATGCAATGCTCCACTTTATTGCTGATAATTTTCCTTGTTCTATAGTCTATTTTGTCTGAAATTAAATATAGCTACTCTGTCTTCTTTTGATTAGTGTTAACATAGTATATATTGTTCTATCTCTTTAATCTATCTGTGTCTTTACATTTAAATTGGGCTTCTTACAGACAGACAATATTTTTATTTTTTTTTTATTTTTTGAGATTTAAAATAATTTTTAAATGTTTTTATTTACTTCTGAGAGAGACAGCATGATCAGGGGAGGGTCAGAGAGAGAGGGAGATATAGAATCTCAAGCAGGCTCCAGGCTCTGAGTTAGCTGTCAGCACAGAGCCCGATGTGGGGCTTGAACCCATGAACCATGAGATCATGACCTGAGCCGAAGTTGGATGCTTAACCGACTGAGCTACCCAGCTGCCCCTAGACAATGTTTTTTAAAAAATGTTTAATGTTTATTTTTTAGAGAGAGAGAGCACGAGTAGGGGAGGAGCAGAAAGAGAATGATGGACAGAGGGAATCTATAATGATAATGCAGGGCCCAACATGGGGCTTGAACCCATGAGCCATGAGATCATAACCTGAGCCAAAATCAAGAGCTGGATGCTTAACCAACTGGGCCACCCAGGCACCCCAATAGACAATATTTTTTTAAATATGAATATTATTATTTAGGCATGGCAAGACCAGCAGTAGAGGACACTATTGCCATTGAAACGATAGCTGTTATACTCGCAAGTCTCAAGAGGAAGGGACATTCTATGCTGTGGGCTACACAGAGAAGTACCAGAGTTGGTCAGGAGGCAGAAAGAATGAAGGGAAAATGTGGCCAAGAGTCTTTGTTGTGCTTTCTGTTAGTAGAATGAGAGAACCCAATATAATCACATGGGTACTTAAAAGTAGAAACCTTTCTAAGCTGTGGTCATAGCTCGAACAGATGTAATGACAGAAGAACGTCAGAGAGATGCAGTGATGTTGTGTTTCAAGATGGAGGAAGGGTTTTGGGTGGCTTCTAGAAGCTGAAAAAGATGAGGCTGTCCAGAGATATAACCCTCTTAACTTTTTCGTTTTATCCCAGTGAGACCTGGGTTAGACCTCTAAATTGCTAACTTTTAAAATAATAAATTGGCATAGTTTTAACCCACTAAGTTTTTGGTAGTTTGTTTTAGCATCAACAAAAAATTAACACAATAGTATGGTATTTCTATGAAACAGTAATCCAGTCAGAATTTCATCTGAAGACTAATAATCTTATTTTAATTTGAAGAACAATGTATAGAGATATAAATTACCTATGAGGTTATCATTGCTTACCTTCTGATAAACAGTGCATATTTGAATGGTTAAGAATTCCAAAATGAGGGGCACCTGGGTGGCTCAGTCGGTTAAGCGTCCAACTTTGGCTCAGGTCATGATCTCATGGTTCGTGGGTTCGAGCCCCACATCGGTCTCTGTGCTGACAGGCAGCTCAGAGCCTAGAGCCTGTTTTGGATTCTGTGTCTCCCTCTCTCTGACCCTTCCCTATTCATGCTGTCTCTCTCTCTCTCTCTCTCTCTCTCTCTGTCTCAGAAATAAATAAAAACGTTAAAAAAATTTAAAAAAAGAATTCCAAGGTGAGATAATATCTTTCATGTGCTTAGTAAATGAAAGATATGCAATAAATGTCTATTTAAGTTGTTGACTATTGGAGGAAAACAAAAATAATGACAAAATATCATTTTAAAAATCCTTAGAATGCATGAATCACTAATTCTGTTTATCATTCCATCATGTTTGTATTTTACAGATAGCGAAGCTAGTTCTTTAATGGATATAGAAAATGTAATTTTGACTAAAATCCATGATGATGAAGAAGACCACTCGGAGACAATATTGAAATCTGACAAATTTCATCAGGATTTATTTTTTATGGAACGAGTTCTAATGGAAAATATATTTCAACCAAAACTTGCAGCTTATCGTCAGCTTCCTATTTTAAAAGGTATTTTTTAAATCACATTTAGACAAACTCAAATAATCAAAAGAATTGAATGACGTTATCATTTCTAAATGTAACCTCCAGACTGGATTATCACTTGTCAAAAGACACATTTATATACCTTTTAGCATTAAACATCCAAATAATAGTAGAATTCAAACTACAGAGCCCTCCAAAGAGATCATCCCTTAGATTAGAATCTTCAAAAGCTTCCGTGGCTCTTTCTTCTCCCTTGCCCTTGCATTGAATTATTTTCTCATATTTAAACACCCTCTCCACTGCCATTGACACTTTCCAGGTCCTGGTGCTTATTTCCTCTCCCTAATTTTATTGCAGGGGCATTCTTACTGTTCTTGTTGCTGCAAATTCCATCTTAAACATTCACAGAATATTCTGAAAGATTTTAGAGATTAATTCAACCCTTCAATTTTTGAATGAAGAAAACGAATAGCATAGAAACTTTCTAAGTTTAGAGTCTATGACAAAGCTAGGCATTCATCCAAGGCCTTCTGATCTCATTCTAATTCTCTTTCCACTTTACTCTCCTGGGGTGCTGATGTATCCCATACACAGGTTTGAACTGGACATTTAACTCTCAAGCTACCTTCAGTATCTTCCCATTGCCTATAATAAATTACAAACTCTCAGATTTCCCTTGTGCTATTTTCCAGTTAAACCTAACCTCCCATAAACAGGCATTAACCTTACTTTTCCCACCATGGATTAACTGTTTTGGTACATCAGATAAATGGACTCAGATAGTAAGTACAGTTGACCCTTGAACAAGGCATGGCTTAGGGGTGATGACCCTGGCACAGTCAAAACTCCAAGTATAAATTTTGATTCCCCCCAAAATTAGCTACAAATAGACTACTGTTGACCAGAAGCCTTACTTATAGCATACATAGTCAACACACATTTTTATGTTATATGTGTTATATACTATATTCTTACAATAAAATAAACTAGAGGAAAGAAAATGTTATTAAGAAAATAATAAGGAAAAGAAAATACATTTATAGTCTTGTATCTGTGTTGGTCTGGGCCAGGGACAGAGGCAGGGGCTGAAGTCCTGGGCCCAGAATGACAAAGTTCTGCAGCCTGGTGGGCCTCAGCTCAGCAGTAGCGGCTGCTGGTGGGCCCATGGGTGGTGAAAGTAGCCTAGGGACACAGTAGAGCTGCCCTATCTGCCCAGAGGTAGACCACCTGCAGGTGGCCACTTCAGCTGCAGCCAAACATGAGTATACTGGTCTCTAGGAGGCCATGAGGCAAGGGGCCACCACAGGGAGGAACGTGCACCAGGCCTGTGAGGAGACCAAGGCCGTGGCCACCTGGTGCCACTCAAGAGGCCGGTGGGTGGAGGACTCAGGGGCATGGGGCTCCCTGCAGAATGCCATCCCTGCTCTCTGGGTGTGTTCTACCACTTTAACTCAGCCTTCTGCTGGCTAGCCCTAGATGCACCCCACCTGACCACCCTATCCTCACACAGGGCAACCTACACACCTTCCTGGTCCTGAGACCGCCAGGTTGCTGACAGCCTCAGCGTGCCTCTTCAGGCACTCAGGCAGCAAGTGCTACTTCTATGCTAGTTGCCTTTCATTCTATCTTGGGAAACTGGAGTGGGCAGTTGTAGACAAATGCCTTGTGGCTTTTGCCGTCAACTCTTCTAAAAAAAAAACCTGCATGTAAGTGGACCCACACAGTTCAAACCTGTGTTGTTCAAGGGTCACTTGTATTCTTTTGTGCCTGGCTTCTTTCATTCAACATGATGTTTTTGAGATTCATTAAGATTGATTTGTGATAAGTGGTCCACTTTTTTTTCTGAGTACTGTTCCATTTTGTGAATATATGATAATTATTTGTATATTCGTTCACCTGTTAATGGACACTTGGCCCATTACCTGTTTGGGAATTTTATGAATAAAGCTGCTATAATCATTTTTGTGCTTTTTTGTGGGCATATGTCTTATTATTTTTAATGTTTATTTATTTATTTTGAGAGAAAAAGAGCATGAGTGGGGGAGGGGCAGAGAGAGAAAGGGAGAGAGAGAATAACCAGACAAGCTCCACACCATCAATGCAGAGCCCCACATGGGGCACAGTCCCATGAACTGTGAGATCATGATCTGAGCCAAAAACAAGAGTTGGACGCTTAACCAACTGTACCACCCCGGCACCCCTGGACATATGTTTTAAATTTTCTTGGGTAAATACCTAGAAATGGAATTTTGGGATCATCAGATAGATGCATATTTAACTTTTTTAGAGAATGCAAAATACCTATCCAAAGTATTTGTCCCATCTTACACTGCCATAAACAATGTACAAGATTACCTATTGTGGAGCACGTGGGTGGCTCAGTTGGTTAAGCATCCGACTTCGGGTCAGTTCATGATCTCATGGTTCGTGGGTTCAGGCCCCACACTGAGCTCTGTGCTGACAGCTAGCTCAGAGCCTGGAGCCTGCTTGAGATTCTGTATCTCCCTCTCTCTCTGACCCTCCCCTGCTCATGTTCTCTCTCTCTCTCTCTCTCTCTCAGAAATAAATAAAACATTAAAAAATTAAAATAAAAAAGATTACCCATTGCTCCTCATTCTTGATAACAGCTGATGTTGGCAATTCTTTTAATGTCCTAAAGACTAAACGTGTTGACTACATATTCATGTACTTTTTTTGGTCACTTGTATTATCTTCTTTTGTGTAATATTCACTCAAGTCCTTTGTCATTTTAAATTGAGTTCTTTTTTTAATTGAGTTGTAGGAGCTTAAATTTTTATATATTCTGGAACAAGCTCTTTGAAAGGTATGTGTATTACAACTATTCTAAGTCGGTGACTTAACAATATATTTGTCTTTTGATGAGCAGAAGTTTTTAATTTTGATGAAATCTTATTTATCAGTTTTTTCTTTTGTAGTTAATGTTTGCCATGTCCTCTTTAAGACATCTTTGCCTGCCCCTAGATTGCAAATATCTTTGCCTTGTTCCTAAACTTAGGGAGAAGCATTCAATATTTTATCATTAAATATGTTGTTGAGTATACTTTTTTGTACATGTCTTTTGTTGACTTGAGGAAATATCCTTTTCATTTTAGTTTTCTAAACATTTTCCAAGGCCAATGGGTGTTGAATTTTGTCCATGATACCCAGGATAGCCAACAGAATATTGAAGGAAAAGAAGAAATTTGGAGGACTGACACTATCTGACTTCAAGACTTATTATAAAGCTACAGTAGTTAAGTCAATGTGGTAGTTTCAAAAGAAAAGATATATAGATCGATAGAACAGAATGGAGAGCCCCAAAATAGATCCACATAATTATATTCAACTATTCTTCGACAAAAGAGGAAAGGCAATACAATGGAGAAAAGATAGTCTTTTCAATCAGTGGTACTGAAACAACTGGTCATTTACATGCAAAATAAATAATTAGATACATAAATTGTACCATTCACAAAAATTAATCCAAAATACATCATAGACCTCAATGTAAAATGCAAAACTCTAAAACTCCTAGAAGTCAACATAGGAGACAATCTAGATGATCTGAGAGTATGGCAATAACTTTTTAGATTTAACAACAAATTAATGATAAACTTCTGCTCTCTAACAGACATTTTAAGAGAATGAAAAATCAAGTCACAGACTGGAGAAAATATTTGCAAAGGATATATCTGTTAAAGGACCCATCCAAAATACACAACTATTTCTTAAAACTCAACAATAAAAAACAACATGGTTAAAAAATGGGCAAAAGTTGGGGCGCCTGGGTGGCTTAGTCAGTTGAGCGTCCGACTTTCGCTTAGGTCATGATCTTGCGGTTCGTGGGTTCGAGCCCCGCATCAGGCTCTGTGCTGACTGCCAGCTCAGAGCCTGGAGCCTGTTTCAGAGTCTGTGACTCCCTCTCTCTCTGACCCTCCCCTGCTCACGCTGTCTCTCTCTCTCTCTCTCTCCTAGAAATAAATAAAACATTAAAAAAAATTTAAAAAGAAAAAATGGGCAAAAGACTTTAACAGACACTTCACCAAAGAAATACATGGATGGCAAATAAGCATGTAAATAGGTGCTCAAGGTCATATGCCATTACGGAATTGTAAACTAAAATAACAATGAGACACCACTATCCACCTATTAGAATGACAAAATTCCAAAACACTGACAGCAGCAAATATTGGCAAAGATGTGGAACAACAAGAACTCCCATTCAGTGTGTGAGGGATTGCATAATGGTTCAGCCACCTTGGAAGACAGTTTGGCATTTTATTACAAAACTAAATATACTGTTACCATATGATCCATAATCACAGTATTTACCCAATGTAGGTGAATACTTATATACCCAAAAACCTGTACACAAATGGTTATAGCAGTTTTATTGATAATTGCCAAAACTTGCAAAGCAACCAAGATGTCCTTCAGTAGGTGAATGGATAGATAAATTGTGGCATATCCAGACAATGAAATATTATTCACTGAAAAGAAGTGAGTTTTCAAGCTATGAACAGACATGGAGAAAACTTAAAAGAATATTACTAAATGAAAGAAGTCAGTCTGAAATGGCTACATGTGGTATGCTTCCAAATGCATGACATTCTGGAAAAGGCAAAAGTATGGAGACCATTGTTTGCTGGATTTCAAGGATTGGGAGGAATGAATAGTCAGAGCACATAAGATTTTAAAAGCAGTGAAACTGTTTTCTATGATACTATTATGGTGGGTACATGTCATTGTACATTTGTCCAAACCCATAGAATGTACATACCAGGAGTGAACACTAATTTAAACTATGGCGTTTGCTGGTAATGCTTTGTCATTGTGAATTCATTGATTATAACAAATATATTACTGGTACAGAATGTTAATTCCAAGGTAAGCTGTGCATATATCTGGGTTTAAGTATAGAAGAACTCTGTCTATTTTAAGTTCAATTTTTCTGTGAACCTAACATATGCTTAAGGACTTAAAGGAAAATAAGAATATAATGAGGAAAGCAATGAAAGCTATAA